CCTACACGAGGTGCCTGTGTGCAGACGGCAGATCGGCAGTGTTGGTGTCTTGTTATGAAAAGAGCAATCAGCATTGACAGGTAAACTGCATGGCTGATACAATTAGGATCATCTCCAGCTACAGCATGACCAGAGCATGTCCCTGCAGTGTTGGCTTTAGACACACTGAAGGCACCATGCAGTTCTCACCCAGATTCGTGGCTCTTGCACTCACACAGTTTCTCATTTGAATGTAGAGGAGTATTCCTTCAGTAAGTCATGTGTGTTTTGGTCTGAAAATGTTAATTTGTTGAAACGTGCATTTTTCACGTAATAGTATGAAACTTTTGTCAGAAAGTTTTCATGTGTCCCAGGAGGAATTTCTGTCCAAAACCAGGAAAAAAAAGGAAAGCTCTATTGACCCATAATACCCAGTAATTCTAGTCCCAACTCACTGTCCTACCTACTCTTCAGAAGTGAGTCTTTTTTCCTCCTATTCATGATGGGATATGATTTTATTCCAAAGTAGTACAAGGTGAAATCTCTAAACTTTTCATTGGATAAGGAAGCCATACCCTTTCCAGATCTTCACAACCATGAAACAAGTGAGACATTGGAGATAGTCCTCCAGCCCCACCCCAAACCATAATGATGCCTGCTTCATCATGTAAGAGAAACAAAACAAAATGATACATAGAGAAAGCACACAGAGGAAAATCTTGCGGTCAAGGGAGAGGGGAGACAAAATCTAACTTCTTGTTAGTTTATGTTAGTAACACTAAGAGTGTTTTTTTTTCTGAAGAGAAGTGGGGATAGAGCTGTAGCTGAAAGACAGGTGAGGAGAGACATATTTTTAAGAGACTCAAGCACAGGGAAAAAAAAGCAACTGCGAAGATTTAACAAATACCTCCTGAAATACTCAGTAATACACAGCCTGTGAGACATGATGACCTGGGATGCAACACCATCTCTTTGCAAGCACCCTCTATTTTTCCAGTGTAATTCCCACCAATCCCCACAGTTCATTTTGAAGAAAAATCCTTGGTCTGTTCTGTCATGATTTCCTATTTAAAAGGATGGAAGAAAACTGGGCACAAAAGTGATGGTGATTATGTAGGTGGCTACTGTGACATGGAGTCGAGCTGAAATCCTTGTAGCGCTTCAGCCGGATCAGAATACGATGAGCAGGCAATGTGAGGAACAGAACTGTTCCCCATTGGGCTTTGAGACATGAAATACTGCCATATCAGGTAGTTTCTCCCTGCCGGCTCAGAATGTTAAAGGTAGACTGATCTATGACAGAAAACATTTTCATAATTTTTAACTACAGTGGGCATTGTGCTGTAGGGCTCATAATTACTCATGGACTAATGGACACTGCAAAGCTTACATTAAAATCCAGCACCTTTTTACCTTCCCGACATGATGGGCTTGGGACCAGCAGCAACAGCCCCAGTGAGTCCTCCCAGAGGGTACGCAGGGACAGTAGAAGATCACAGCAATAGTATCGCCTTGTTCTCAAGGGGAACGCCTGTGTGCTCCAGCCAGGTCTCGTTCATGAATATCTGGATGTACTGAGAGGAAAGGACAGTGATGCGTAACCATGACTTAGAGATGAAGGACACTGAGAAAGCAAGAGCTTGCTCATTAACATATCTGTTTACTCTGTGTTCACACCTCCAAACCTTTGGCTGAAAATGGCCTCCAGTTCTTAGATGCATTTTTAACAGAGGATTAAGAGTACAGAACTATAGCTGTTGAAAAGTTGTTCTTGGTTTGTATCTGTACGCAGCTACCTTGGATAATTTAAAAATGTATTTCATGGGTCCAACTTTTAATTTAAGGGCAAAAGTCAATTTCAAAGGATGCAGGTTGGAAAATTTTAGATTTGCTAGCAGTTGAAATGAAGCTTTTGAATAAATTATTGTGACACAAGGTCCTGCTCAGGGGTGGTTCTTGACAACAAAGCCCTGTACCTCAGATGTGAATTACAGAAGGGAACAGCACATCCTTCCCTTCTCACCCTCAGTATTAGCACACTGCATATTTTCAGTGGCAGACCACTGTTTATAGCCAGAGTGAGGACACTAAGGAAGTGTCTGTCTCAGGAGGAGGTTCTCAGACTAGCAGTACTTACTGGTTGGAGCACTGATGATGGAGATGTTGTAACCATATTGGAAAGTGCCTCCAATCCTAGCAGCACATATTGTCAGGATCAGAATCTTGCTCTGAAGCTGAGTAATATGGGTAGAAAATGGATGGCTTCTTGCACAGAATAAAATGTCTCAACAGACATTTGGTCCATGCACACTTTGAGTGGTGTGAAGAGAAGATCAGAACAGGCTACGAATGCTGTAAAATGAGAGGTGCCAAAGATGGAAAAAAACCCCAGGTTTTTAAACCATCTCCCTCCACTGCAGAATAGTATTAGTAATTCATTGCATTCATGAAGAATTTGGAACTGCTTTGGGGCAAAGGCCTACAAGTGTCTTGTAGGCCTTGTTTAATATTTAATGTGTATGCTTGCAAAAACTCAGAGCAACAACAGTAAATACTGGTTTAATTCAATTCATTAATTCAATTCATTACAAAAACCTGTACTCACATGATGAATATGACCCCACTGACCCTGAGAAGACCTTAGATAACCCAGTGCTGGGGAGCTCTTTCTGCTCTACCTGCTCATTTTCTTCTTACAGAGCCACCTACCAAAGAAATTGAAAGTTTTGCCTAGTCTCCCAATAGCTCTAAAATCACAAATTCAAATAATCTTAGATTTTGCCTTTCCTCAAAGCCTTTTCTTGTAAACAACTTCCATACCAGCCTGAAACAGGACGTTCTCGCAGGACAGAAATGAAGCCAGACTGTTCCAACCCTGCAGCAAGAAGAGGCTGAGCTCTCTCCCGTCCCAGTTAAAAGCAGGTATGTTTCACTTGCTTGCACTTCCCTTGGCTTCCCTGTGTTGTTACTGAGACCTGAGCTAAGGCTTGCGCACCTGGTAGCTCTGCTCTTCCCAGTTACTCTATTTCTCCAAGTGAGAGAGATTTTCTCTCCCTACAATAGCACATTTCTTGTTTTTTAATCACAATGCCTAGGGATGTAACACTTCTCCTGCTCATTTCCCTGCTTTTCGTTATGAAGTACATCCCCTATCAGGTCCTGTATCACAGAGTTTTTTTGTGGCCATGGGCTGAGGGAAAATGGTTTGCTTCTCCCTTCAGGAATCACCAAACAGTTCCATGCTCAGGGCCCAGCTGTATTTACAGGATGACCTTCCCAAACCTTCCTTAGCACCCGGCTTTCGCACTATTGTCCCAGCCACAGTGGTGGTGTGCAACTTCCCAGAGAGCCATTAGTCTGTCAGCTTTCTCCCGAGGACTATGATGAGGTGGACAAATAATTCTGCGAGAACCTGATAGTACTTACACAGCCTTATAAAAATTAAAAATAAAAAATTGATCTGCCAACAATAATAGTAAAATAGATGGGTTTTTACCAGTCTCTGCAGTTTGTTCATCCTCTTTGGTAAGTTTTCCTCTGTCCGCGAAAGACTCTGCTACTCTTAGCAATGCTTTAAAGGATTATTTAAATCTCCAGCATAGGAATGTGTATTTAGTCACCTATTACATTAGAATAAGACACTTGGCAGGTATTTTGCTAGCTGATGTGCATTCTCAAAGCAGGGCTGCATGTTCATTAGCAAGACACCTCAATTAATTTGTTGGAAGTGCATGACAGTTTGGAGAAATGATTCTGCAAAATCCAGAGCTGTCTAAATCCTCTTGAAGGCCAGTGTGGTTTATGGCATAAATTCTCTCAAAGCATCTGGCACAGTTGCCCAGTAGTGATGCTGTGAAAAGCTGGAACAGAAGACTCAATAGTCAGAACACTATTAAGCAGGTACTCTTTATTACGGTGCCGGGAACACGGGGGATCTCACAGTATCCTCTATCGTGGCTTCTCCAAAACTTGGGCCAAGCATTATTGTCACAATTCCAACGAGTAGGTCCTACCCCATATAAAGGGAGTCTCATATCACCTTTTGGTAAGGCAGTACAATCCTTAGCTCCCGTGGCATTCGCTATCATCTGAATTGCATTGTAATAGATGTTCTCACTCCAAGTGTTCACTAATAAGCCTAAGTTTAACAAAGTTACCGCCACAATCAGTAGTTTCAAACCGCCAGCCTTTTCAACCATCCATCCTGGTTTAGCAGCTTTCTTCACTCAAGAATAATGGATCCAGGCCGGTTGTCCTTGATTCTTGATTGCAGTAAAAGTGGTCAGCAATACCTGGTAAGGTCCATTCCACTTCTTTCTCAGTGGATCACCTGAAAAATTCTCTTAATATAAACCCAATCTCCAGGGCTAAATGGATGGATCAAGTGATCTAACCCTTTAGCCCTGGTACCCAAAACATTTTTACTAATTTTTTCTAATAGTTTTCCTAAGGATATAACATAATTCTGTAGATACTGATTTCCCAACTGGTTCAAATCTTCCCCCTGATATTTAGCCTGGTGTGGTCTCCCATATAGTATCTCAAAAGGGCTCAAATTTTCTTTGGCCCTAGGTTTTACATGTATCCGAAGTAGTGCAATAGGCAATGCTTGGTACCAATATAGATTTGCTTTTTGGCATATTTTTGCATCTTTTCTACTTGCCCACTGGCTTGTGGTCTGTAGGGCGTATGTAACTGCCAATTGATTCCTAACAGTTTGCTGACCTGTTGCACTACTTCTGCACAAAAATGCGTCCCCCTATCTGAGGAGATAATTGTCGGTACCCCAAATCGAGGTATTATTTCATTTAATAATACCTTAGTTACTTCCCTTGTTTTATTTGTTCTACAAGGGAATGCTTCTGGCCAACCTGAAAAGGTATCCGTAAGTACTAATAAGTACCTGTACCCTCCTTTTCTTGGAAGTTCAGAGAAATCAATTTGCCAATGTTCTCCCAGTATACTTCCCTTCCCAATACTTCCTAATTGTACCCGGTTACCTGTATTGGGGTTATTTTTAAACATGTTTCACATTGTTGGGTTACTTGTCAGACTGTAGTATACAAATTGTTCCCTATTCAGGCCCATCCCTGGAATGGAACTTGTCCTCGTAATCCTTCTATTAATTGTTCATCAGCTTTAGAATACTCAATATTTTTTGGTCATTCAGGTTTCTATTTCTGTTATCTGGAATTAAGACCAAAATCTCTTACATTCTCTCTGCTGCCTGTTTAGCTTCAGAGTCAGCCAACCTGTTACCTCTTTCCTGGTCAGTGTTACCCTTCAGGTGTCCTCGGCAGTGCATGATGGCAACTCTTGTTGGTAGCTGAATGGCTTCTAATAGTCGAAGGATTTCATCAGCATATTTAATCTGCTTCCCTTGCGCAGTTAGTAGTCCTCGCTCCTTCCAAATTG